GGTAATGCTACATCGGGGTACTTGCTTGGGTCAGTATTAAATGAAATTTAATCTGTTACTTCTCTGCAAGTCCCCCACACACCCAGCTTGTGTGCTAATTTCGACAACTCATAAATGTGATTTCGAGATGGAAATGTGTCATTCTTGAGGGAGCGTGTTATGCATGACATAGCCCTGAAACGCCTTTCAGTTATATCACGTCATTTTCTCGTAATGTGGCTAGAAAACCCAAACTGAGCTAGTACCATATTCGTGAACGCACGAATATTGTTGTGAAACACTAACATAGGGGATTCGAACCTACTATGATAGGACAGTGACACGTGGAAAGGACGCAGCTCCGAATGATGAAATCTTTGCCTTTGACGACTGGGCTCCCATGCTCACTTGCCTCTCGTGAAACGCTATTGTAGAGGTGTGAATGTCCCAGCCAAGTCGATAAAGTCATTCCTCATCATAGGACCCGGAATCGATCCCAGGCAAGAATACAAAGCGTGAATCTCCGTCTAGGTTTTCACAGTCGTGACATGTTTATCACTTTGTTGAAGGCGACATAAATATTAAACGTCAACGCCGGAAAATAACCACTATCGAACATCGGGATTCCATTGGGCGTGAAAGGCGAAACAGTCTAGATGATGATGTAATAGGGTCACTGACAGTCAGTGATGACATCAAGAAAACCCCGACACACACACACACATGCATGCACGCACAAATACGCACACACGCACGCACACTCACTTATTTTGCAAAGTATGTTTGTCTCAAGGAGTGGAGTTCTCCTGTAACCCTGACTGTGGCTGATAGGTGATACTTCCCAGTCAATCAAACGTATTTAATCACTGTGTTGAAACGTAAGACGCAGTGCTACTATAGACTTATATCAGCTGCGTACAGTGAGTGATTATCGCATTAGCATTCTTGCAGCTATTCGCGGCGATTGTTGTGTACAAAAGCAAAGATTCCTCAGCATATCAGTGAAGCACAAACGTTTAATATGAAATATGTTTGTTTTGAAACACAGTTCAGTTTTACTGTTATATCCCAAAGCGAGCTGAATTCGACGTTCCGGTGATTTCCTTGCATCGTCGAAAAACACTGATACCGGGAAAAGCCTTACAGGATTACATATATTTTACACGTAGTATTACACGTACATCCACACCTTCATAATAGCAACGGCTACACCACATTAAACGAATGATTTACATATCTTGTAGTTATTGATGAAAGTAACTTCAGGCAAATGTTATTGATACTTCAAACATATTTAGTACTGTGCAAGTTACAGAGGCAATGTAACAGGGTTTTGAAGGCAACGTTGTATTAGTTGAGTACAAGAGCGAACATGGCAAGCAAACCTTGTTAAAAGACTTTGAATTAGCTCCAGCGTTGTAGAATTAGCTGTCAACTTGGTCATTACGGCGCGGACTTTATGTGGAAGTATTGTAAATAACAAAATCTAATCACCTACACGAGCGTGACCAAGGTTTCGGTAGTGTCGTGCGTCCAATATCAGGAAAACGAATGTCATTTGACTTGACCTGGGGATAACAACAGAAAACTTTATTACTCTCTGGTCATGGGAAAACCTGACTTGTTTGATACCGGCGTTAGTATCTACACCGAAACGTCGCATTCATTGCCATAAAGAAGTTGACTAACCATAAAACTTGGTTCTATGCCTGTCAATGAAGTTACTCTCTGGTCGAATCCTTCAGCATGCAAGGTACTAAAGACAATATGTACAATGTGATATGTCAGATACAAGATTAACCGGGAGATTCATTATTAGCCATTATGAGATCAAGAAATAATTAGTTTCTTTTACAGTTGTTTTCAATCAAGAAACCCAGCATTTCACAAAGTGCTTGCTCAGTAAAATTCAGATGGCATTTGCTTTCGTTTTTAAAAGATTGCCTGAACCTCTGCAGATGCACATGTGTGCACTGTTGTCGATGGTCCCATGGTCCCTTGTTAAACAAGTCTATTGGATCACGGACAAAGTGGTGTAAAAACACATGCTAATGATATACGAGGGACGTTCAAAAAGTACTCAGACTAGTTATATACTACTCACACTTTGCTAAGGATCACAAAAATTAAAACTGGATAAATAACAATATGGTAACCACTCTTTAGGCAAACAGTCACTTTAATCTAACTTTATGCACTTGATACATGAGTAACCATAAAATGGTTTTCATGGCACCAATCAATCATTTTGCAAATCACGGAACCAGTCATTGACAAGTACACAACACCTGTCAATAGCAGGTATGGGATCCACAAGATGAAATGACACACTGGAACCTAGGATCCATGCTTACAATAAGCTTAGATATTTAAATCCAATTTGACCACACATCATAGTTTTCTGTTGAATCCATGATTTGATCATTAGCAAATTGTGAATAGCATATATTCTGGATGTCCAATGTTTGAAAAACTTCCATTCTATCATGGAGATCGTGAGGCTGGAACATAGCAAAACCAGTTTACTTGAGGTTCACAGATAATATGTAGAACAATATAACATTATATAACAATGATTTGTATCATTTCCTAGGTGAGGCTGACTAGTTTTTGAAAGCCCCTCGTAGTCGGATAAGCGCAAAAGACTCTGGCAGATTACTATTATGAATATGGACAGTGTTTTATATCATTTCTAACACACTGATAAATTCATTACGGTTCAGGGCATTGGTACTTATATTGCTTAACTCCTTCATGAACTCTATGTGGGAGCTGGTGATGCACATTTTCCTGAACACACTGACGAACTGGGTACATACACCTTCACACATGGAGAAACACATTCCTGAACACATTAATACACGCCATGATATGTAATTGATGCGTGCAGACAGCCAACGCGTTGCTCACAGCAGAAGGGCGGTGGGATAGGCAAGTGGTTAAAGCATTCACACCGAAGGGTTCGATTCCTCACATGGTTACAATGAGTGAAGCTCATATCTGGGGTCTGCCAATCGTGGTATTGCTCAATATTGCTGAAAGGAGCGTCTCACTCACTCACTTACTCAAGATACCATTCATTGTTTCAGAAACCTTATTTTGTTGTGATAAGAGGAAGCTATTTTCGAGAAAGCACGTTTACTTCTGACGTCATGCAATGGGATTTGTTGAACCAGGTTATAGTCTAACCAGTACGTAACGAAATGCCTTGCGACATCCGTTTGATATTTTCACAATAACAAGCCAAGTTATCAATACCTTAAACGTATTTGTTTCACGAAGCACCAAAATAACATGAAACGAAAATAACACGACCAAACAGTTCAAGCCTTACACAGCGGCGGGGGGTACAGAGCCAGACTATAATTTTATTGACGTTATTGTGATTGCTACATGTTCACATGGCATGCCATGGATATTTACGTTTCTTTTGATCACTTTCAAATAATGCGCCCAGAAATAGACACGGCGTACATGCTTCATACTTCTCTAACCAAATGATTTAATAAGGCCTATACAGATTAGTCAGCCAAGTCAGTGTCCGTGGTATTTAGCATTCGCTTCATAAGAAACATCTTCTTTTATTACATGAATGGCTGATAATGGCCGTAAAAGCTATTTTGAATGGATTTATCTTTATGATAGAAGTTGTTTTGAGGGATTTTTCTTTCGCATCCCTTTCACAACAGTAGCTGACATTGGTGATGTAATCATGGGCGTGTATAGAGATTTAGTATTTTTTATCATTGATAGTATCATGTGGTAACAATGTCTAGGTCGTCATGTGTTGTGCTCCAGGCATTTAATGGCATATTCCGCCCCCTATTATACTGATCCATCGACTGCAGAGATTAGATACTTTGGGCTGCTGGCGAGACTCTTTGAGACCTTTCAGTAAGTCGGACAATATAGGGAGCGAGGTAACTCTGTGAGTTTTAATGTAAAAGATTACCTTTTCATTTTCTGCCATGTCAGCCGACCGACAGTTTTTTTTCAGATATTGCTTTGAACTGACTCAGTATTTTTATAAGATAATTTTTGCCATCATTAAAAGGTTTGGGAGCAAAACGCGATAGTTAAAATACCTTTCGTAACCATGGCAAAGGTTTGGAGAGTAACTGAGATGTATCCTTGGAGTAAACATCCTTTGATCTCGTAAACCACATCATGTTTGATATAGGTATCGCTTACAGGCCCCGTCAATGCAACATGCGAGGTTCTAATGAAGAGTGTCATTGCATATACTTAGTCTAGAATTCTTACTTGAGTTTTTCATTATACTCTCAGACTATGTTTTAAAACACGCCTCTGTTAGCAATTTCAAAGACGCAGTAATATTATCCTGTCCAGTCCTCTCCATGGGCGAAAGCTTAAATAAAAAAATCAACATTTTGTTGCGAGGTTGCGCCAAAAGTAAATATCCGGTCATTATTTTGCTCTTACAAATTTAGGGTACTATTCTTCTCCTGTCATCATCACTTGACCATTTGACATAGACTGACCGCTACTATGTCCTCTTCATATGACCTTTTCAACTGGCAAAGATGTTCGTACCGATAGATGACGGGTTGTTTGGTGTGACCTTATGGCATGGCTTTACACCTGTTAGTGGCGAAACGTCCTGATACGCAGATTCTCCAGCGTTTAGAAACAGTAGTGACATTAATTGTCTTTTGGAACTGTTGTACTTTGCGAAAGAGCAAGACTATCTCAATTATCAAGATCCACCTTTGTGTTCCAACAACACGAATGAAAGCTTCACCTGTTCCATCATTCGATTAATTACCGAGATGAAGGACCAAGCGTTTACCCATGACATAGATGCGAAATATGTAAAACTCACCGCAAAACGTCCGACGACACTGAAAGAATTTCGACATGCGATGCCCGTTGTCTTACCCCGCAGTACCCTTGCTTGCGGAAATGCCGATGTCAATGAAAACGATAAATGTGAGTTGAGAAGTGTTCAAATGGAATCTGATGTTTCAAAAAAGCTTCCAGAAATTCAGTCCAAAGATTGGATGACTTTTGAGAGTGAGGGTCCAAATCCTAATGCATGTGACCAAATCAGGTCACTTGATGCCGTCGAAGGTGTTGATGATTGTCCAACGTTGAGAGACATCGACGTTGAGGAGACCACGACGACGTCCGTGTCAAGTAAAGCTGAGAGTGACGTAGAATCGACAAAGAGAACGGAACATCTCAGTCCCACGGATGGAGATTACAACTTTCTCCATATAACAGGTACAATATTAACATCACCCTGTTTTAACTCTTTAAAGAAATGTCAATTACTCTTTAGAAAGAATTATCTTGATTTGCTAATGTTGCAATTTTCTATAGGAAATCAAAATAACTTTATGTGATTCATATTAGCGTAACAAAATTAATGATTGAATTTTCTCCAAACATTAATATAAAAGGTGATGTAACTGAGATTGACAAATGATTATGGAAATTGTCATTGTTTCCGTTCCTCCACATGTTAATTGCCGGAAAAAGCAACTTTACGTCCATGATTGATGATATTTCAAAGTGAAGCAAACAAGAATCAATCATTCGACTGTGGCACATTGTATTCCATACACGTATCATTACTCTTTGGTTCTTTGACCGTTTTTAGCCAGTTCACGTTCTGATATCATTAGCATTTTCCCTAAAAACATGTGTATACTTTCCTTTGCCCGGGGAACCCATTACATATGTGTTTGGGTTTACAAGTATATCAGTATATTTATAGTGTGGATGCGTGCAGTAGTTTCGTCCCAACCAATTATGTACATGAGTCGACTGCATAATTCGAATTACCTGTGTACAACATTCATGTACATTATAAGAATGTACAAATGTTCTTGGTGCAGTTTACATCTGTTACACAATATTCTTATTTCATGTACATATCACTTTAACAAATGTCTTATAATGGGATATATAATAAGTAGGTACGTAGAGTTTCTGTAGATGTTGATGACACATCAAAGGTACATGATACTCATCTTCTTCGTCAGCGTTAACATTTAAACAAGGAGCCACGGATGAAACCTTGATATCTTATCTTGATAACTGATTCAGTTGACACTTAAAGTATACGATAATCTCTATTTCCTTGGCTGCAGGTAACACTGGCAAGAAGGGCGTGTCACCTGAACTCAGGTATGTATGTATGTATGTATGTATGTATGTATGTATGTATGTATGTATGTATGTATGTATGTATGTATGTATGTATGTATGTATGTATGTATGTATGTATGTATGTATGTATGTATGTATGTATGTATGTATGTATGTATGTATGTATGTATGTATGTATGTATGTATGTATGTATGTATGTATGTTTGTCCGTATGTCTGTATGTATGTATGTATGCATGTATGTATGTATGTATGTATGTATATGCGTGCGTGCGTATATGTATCTGTATTATGCACATATTTTCAGAGTATTATAATTTTAAAATATATTTTCTTTAAGTATCGATGCATTGAAAACCATGCTTGACAGGTAAACGTTATATGTCTATTGTACTTGTAATTAGGATTATAAATATAATTGTAATTGAACATGTTTATGGTGAACACTTATTTCCTACATCTGCAGTAACGTGCTACCCAATGTTCCTGTTTTCCGCCAACAGGAAGAATGTTTTCAGATTACTGAGTGGACTATATGGCATCTTCCTGGTCATGCTTGGTGCAGTGTTACCCATAGCAGAAACATTCGTAGATTACCGTCGCCCTTATTTCTTTGAGGTAAGTTATCGGGGCATAAGATAGTTCATCTTCATTACTCATACTTGAAATCCGTGTTAAACATGGCAGTAGGATTGCACAGAATAACAATTTTCCAGAATACAAAATAATATAATCGGAGCAATGTCAGCTATACTGCAAGAATAAATTGGTACGGGAGTTCCTTTTCATCATTCTAACGGATCGTACAGGGATTCTATAATGATCTATGCTTTGGTTTCGGAACAGAAATGCTATTTGTAATGTTAGAAGGCAATGTGCATCAAAGTCATGCCACGTATACGTGTAATTACATTGAAAGAGACTTAGCTATATCTGGGGAAATTGCTTGACTGACTTGCGTCAGTACATCCTGAAACTGACACGTGGAGACGACTCTAATGATCAATTATCCTGACAGTGTCACGATATTTTGTGTAACCGGAAGATATATAACTGACTACAGTCGTTACCCAACGGCCTGTGATTCTTACCCTCATCCCCGCTGTCTACTCGTTGACAGATAGCAGCCTTGTGTATATATCTCTAGCAAGGGAAAGTCAAACGGCATTACTTTTACACTGAAGATAACACAAGTACCGCTTGTATATTAACACATGGGCTAAGAGACCGTTCATAATTTATGGCTTGGGGGTTGATGATGATATTTATGGAGGGGTACATGTACAATGTGAATGAATGAACTAAATTTATGTACAAGGTAAGTGTCTCTCCCATGTCATGCACAAAATCAATGACACCTCTTCTCCCCAAGTACATATTTACAAAATTCATGAGCCCCGTACCTCCCCACAACAAAATGGGTGAACCTCCCTTTAAATCATCATCAACCCACCCCCACACCTACCCCGGACCATAAATTATCAACGGTCACTACGTTATGTGATCAAAGTTGGTCACGCGAGGTAGAAGCTTGGATGCCATATACACAATGTCTACTTTATCAACTCCACACAAGCTTGTTCTTCCAACAGTTACATTTCTGACGTTTGGTTCAATTTCCAGGCTTTTTATGTCTACCTGTACTGCATCAGCATGGGATTCCTCCTGTATGTCTATCTCTACCTTCTGCGCAGGCGCAGGCGTGGTATTCGAAATTTGCTGCAGAACTTCTCTCGCAACCTCCGCTTCAATGTAGATGACCATTCTCGGTCGTCCAGTTGTGTATCATCTTCTTCAAACAGACAAAGAAGTAGGAAAGTAGCATTTGACGACAACACAGCTAGTCGTCACACTGGTAGCTTTTACCTGAGGCTTGGCGCAGTGGGTGAGAGTAAAATTACGAAATACATACAAATATGTCGCCCTTAAGACCCGATGTATCGAACGGAGAATTCAAATTAAAAAATACACGAAATTCAATTTCATCTGAGATTTCGAATTTCACTGTGTACTAGGTCAATGTTTCATTCTAATCGGGGTTCTAGTCTCAGATTTACCATGAGTATAAATCGTGGTCTGTTAAAACCGTATCCTTTCTCTTACGTAACTTTCATGTGAATCATTAACTTAAACGTGTAGTTAAATCTTGTTGAAAACAGGCACTGAGTGATCGTGGAAGTATTGTCTTGCATACAAAATGGCCAAAGGCTTCTTCCATCGATTGATAGGGAGTGCACTTAGCTATATCACTACATAGAGTCTTTTCACAACATGCCGCTTCAGGCTGTATATCACACACACACACACACACACACACACACACACACACACACACACACACACACACACACACACACACACACACACACACACACACACACACACACACACACACACACACACACACACACACACACACTCTCTCTCTCTCTCTCTCTCACACACACACACACACACACACACACACACACACATATATTATAACTACTTGCTACAATGGCCTACAACACCATAGATTTATGTTAATGTACTACACACACGAATCACAGTGTTTTAGCAACACTACACCCACGAATGACCCATGATACAACTGATAAAGACGGGTGCACATTAGAGGTGATATATGTACAAATGAAATACACCGATTAACACTAACAATTCAAACGTGAGTTCCTCGACTGTTTTATAAATGTTTCAGCGACAATTTTGTGTGTGTACGTACTGTCAAATTGATGTCAATATTCACTTTTTTATTGCACCTTTGTCTCCAGGCTTTGGCATCGGCAGCATGATACATAGCGGACTCACCATAGGTCACTATTTTGAGATAACGCATTACCATGACTCATGCAGTGACGTCATACAAGCCATCAAGCCCGTGGCCAAACTCACTTTTACCTTCACACAGCTGTACTTCCTCTTCATTAACTCCAAGGTCAGTGGTCACAGATGTTGTCAGGTTTCGGAGCCCCAGGAACGACACGACGTAAATCTTATATGTACATTGATATATAATGAAAAAGGCAAATATAGTGCACTTTGAAATAAATATCTCAAGCTAATTCAAAGGGTTCACCTGTCACCTGACAAAAAACCTGTTCCAAAGGTGTGGTTTATTTTTACATTTTCAAGTAAAATTCAGCCCTTTGATTTAGATGAGCATCTACCGCTACAAGGTTCTGGCACAGTTTGGTCTTATGCACATGTGCGGCACCAACATATGTGTCTGGTTGAGGAGCATTGTCGTGGAAACGTTGCACGTGACCCAGAAGTGGGAGATGCGCCAAGCCCTCGACCAGCTACAGAAACAGGCAGGTCCCACTGCTCGAAACATCCAGCAAACTGACAGCTCCACAATGGGTCCAGGTGAGTACAGGTGTTGACTGGAAACGATGAGCGATGTCAATCGTAGATATTAGTTACAGGGATGTGTTGAGTATGTATTCGTATTTTGGAAAACGGCGTGGCACTAATGATATATCTTAAACATATATGTTTCGTATGTTTTGGTTTGAAACCTTATGAATCCGACAGCTGGGAAATCTTCTACTTTGTTAATTTTTCATAGTCATGAAACAATAGCAGACAAAGAATTGTTCCCCAACATGTACATCGCACACTGTTGTAAATATCCGTAGAATGGCGTCTCACATAAATGCTTCGAGATACAAAATTGCGGCTGGTATTTTGAGAAGAACAGCAATCCTGCACAGACCTCAGCTGGGATGAAGGGGCTTACCTGAATAGTGCTTTCTGTTTGCTGCTCAGGATCAGTCACCTAGAAGAGGCATTTGCTGCAGTTTATCTTGTCTATCACAGTATCGTCAGATAGAACATTCAAAACTGAAAAAAAACATCATTGGCTTTGTCAAAAAGGACAAGATCAGGTTTGTTAGCACAACCTTGTGGGCATGTTCCTAAGAACGTAAAAAGCATGAATTTCCATGACGCCCTGGACATGTTTGGACACAGCATCAAAGCGACAGGTATGACGAACATGGCAATAAAAATATGATAGGACATCCGCTAACAAGGCGTTGAATAGTCTCAGCAAATTCAGTGCATACTGACATTTCATATAACCATTGTCTCCAAGAACCATGTTGGAAGTTACTGGTCCAAGGCAGCAAAAGGAAAGCCCTCTGTTTTAACTTTCAAGTCCAGCCGACTTCATCCAGGCGAAGGTGTCGCTTTGATTGCAAGTGTGTTCCACATTAATACAGGGTACAGTAGTTCCCAGAAGGCTTCTCCTTAAATGACTGACTCTGGGCCGACTTCGTGATTTAGTTAACCTGTTTTGCTCCCATTGCTGTACCGGCCAGCAGTACATCGCCATCAGCAAAATTAACTTCAACTTTGAGATTCTATCCAACAACGTATCTGTTGAAGCCCTTGCTGTCATCATGAAGTACACAATAACATTCCATCGTGAAGAGCCTCGACATTTATCAATCCTCAACCTTCCGAGTCCCTAGTATGGTGATCCACCTTCAGTTGCTGGTGATCTATAGCCCATTTTCCCATTGTATTGTCCAAAAATAGTTTTCTACTTTTAAAGATATATACTAGCTAGTTTTAGCTCATTTTGTGATAAGCTAGTAATTGTACTGTCCTTCGTTGACAGGGTGTTATATATTATATGTATGTATTATGAATAATTTAAAACTAGTTTTAGTCACGCTATGGCTGAAATATTGCCGATGTGACTATAAATTTTAACTCACTCACTCACTCACTTAACCTTCCGAATTGATTAGCATATACATGTATATGGTGACCTCTGTTGTCAGACATGATCTTCCTAGTCATGAGGTAAAGATACGAAAGGCAGGTATGAAATTAAGACCTTATATGAAAATATGATAAGCTCAAGGACTCTACGTTTATGTTTCAGCAGGAAGGTCGGGGTCCTTCTTGCCAGAACTGAGCTGTCACTGGGACGCGATGATGGGGAAGGTCGTGGAGCAGGCCGCCTACTACCTGTACCCTTGTACCATTGAATACAGTCTCATCTCCGCAGGTAGACAGCCTATACTGTTTGAGTGATAAAGCATTACCTGACATAAGCAGAAAACCTAACGGCTTAGTCATTGATTTTGACAACGTTCTTTAAGCTGGGATGAGAGTCAAGGGTAACGATAACGATTTGAAGAAATGAGAAATATCCAAAAGGTGCTTATTCGAACAAAATCAGATGCATTAAACTGACCCAAATCATTGATAACGTTTATTATTATCGGACTTAGAAAATGCTTACTGAAGACACTGTGGAAACACAAATACACTAATAAACTACAGAGAAGAAACTCTCATTAGGAGTCGTGAAAATGTATCGATTTTTCAGCAAATAGAGGAAAGCGAAATTACAGTATTAGACGAAGGTACCACTGATTCTGATTGTGTTTTTATAATAACTGCCAGACAACAGTGCATTCTTAAGAACCGGATTCGACACATCACGAAAAACGTTATCGAAACGTTAATCATCATGGATGGATACTTTATTTCGCCCGTCTGTTTGTAAATTATAACTTATAATCTGATAAGATCGACCTAAATTTTATTGAAACTAATATTGGGTCTAATATCCGAGTCAAAGATGGCCATGTCCTTCTTCAGGTATATTGTATCTGATGTGGAAGAATGTCGGCAGTGACACAACACAGAGACCCCAGGAAGCTGAAGAGGACCACAAGACCTACCGCATGAGCGTCGACTGCGCAGGGTCTAGCAAGGGCCTCTTTTGTGGACTTCTCGTCTTTGTTTTCGCTGTCATCTGTCTCGTCGCCTTCTACGTGCTCCTGGAGGAGGACCATCTCGGCTCTGTCGCTTCCCTGGTCGGGCACCTGTCAGAAACGTCGATATACGTCGCAGCCACTGCTGCTCTTGGTATCGGCAGTTACCGCATGAGAGGCATGTACTTCGACCGTCGAGAAAAGACTGGTCTTGAACAAACGCTGTTGTTGATAAGTTTAAGTGGATTAATGCTCTATTCAACGTTCAGCATTTTTTCTGCTACATTTTATTATGGTGATCTGGAGGGTTGTCTTACTATTGTTACAAATTCAGTCATGGTGTTCCAAGCATCCACACAGGCGTTGTTTATTATTGTCGGACTGCGCATGACCGTTGCCAATGGACACCAGGTTCGGACCAAACCAGGAAGAGAATGTGTCACCTTTTTGTTGATAAGTAATTTTGCCATGTTTGGGATGAATGTCTTTGAGACTCAGAAGATGGAACACAACCCCCTCCAGGTGGCTCTCTATGGACCCAAGGCGTGGTCAATCTTCACTCACGTGACTGTCCCTCTGGGGATATTCTACCGGTTTCATTCAACTGTTTGCCTGTCTAACATCTGGAAGCAGGCTTGGAAGAGGAAGCTGTCGAACTGACAAATAGTAGCATCATTACACACTGGTTATTTAATTCCTAAATCAGACCAGTGGGAGAACCAACTCTCCAGGTGTTATTAAAGCATGTGCTTCACTGCAGGTATCAAACAAAGCTAGTCTCCTATTATTTCCGTGGTTACTGATAACTTGTATTGTGTTGTGTTGTGACTTTTCTGGATGCTTACCGAAGGGACATAAGGACACCATTGTAAACATATCCTTTTAGTCAGAATTTAATTCTGAAAGACATTCCGTAACCAAGTGATATTTCTGTAATGTAAGTTTACTTGAGAGTTGTACTACATTCTTCGTCATGTGTGTAGGTTGTGTTGATTGTTGTATTCGGTGTTAAGATCTAGTTTATGTGTGAAGGCTGTGTTGACTGTTGTACATGATGTTAAGATCTAGTTTATGTGTGTAGGCTGTGTTGACTGTTGTACTTGATGTTAAGATCTAGGTTATGAGTGTAGGCTGTGTTGACTGTTGTACATGATGTTAAGATCTAGTTTATGAGTGTAGGCTGTGTTGACTGTTGTACTTGATGTTAAGATCTAGGTTATGAGTGTAGGCTGTGTTGACTGTTGTACATGATGTTAAGATCTAGTACATGATTTAAGATCTAGTTTATGTGTGTAGGCTGTGTTGACTGTTGTACATGATGTTAAGATCTAGTTTATGTGTGTAGGCTGTGTTGACTGTTGTACATGATGTTAAGATCTAGTTTATGTGTGTAGGCTGTGTTGACTGTTGTACTTGATGTTAAGATCTAGGTTATGAGTGTAGGCTGTGTTGACTGTTGTACATGATGTTAACATCTAGTTTATGAACGTAGGCTGTGTTGACTGTTGTACTTGGTGTAAAGATCTAGTTTATGTGTGTATGCTGTGTTGACTGTTGTACTTGATGTTAAGATCTAGTTTATGTGTGTAGGATGTGTTGACTGTTTACTTGAGAGTTGTACTACATTCTTCGTCATGTGTGTAGGTTTTGTTGATTGTTGTATTTGATGTTAAGATCTAGTTTATGTGCGTAGGCTGTGTTGACTGTTGTACTTGATGTTAACATCTAGTTTATGTGCGTAGGCTGTGTTGACTGTTGTACTTGATGTTAACATCTAGTTTATGTGCGTAGGCTGTGTTGACTGTTGTACTTGATGTTAACATCTAGTTTATGTGTGTAGGCTGTGTTGACTGTTGTACTTGATGTTAAGATCTAGTTTATCTGTGTAGGCTGTGTTGACTGTTGTACTTGATGTTAAGATCTAGTTTATGTGTGTAGGCTGTGTTGACTGTTGTACTTGATGTTAACATCTAGTTTATCTGTGTAGGCTGTGTTGACTGTTGATGTTAACATCTAGGTTATGTGTGTAGGCTGTGTTGACTGTTGTACTTGATGTTAACATCTAGTTTATGTGTGTAGGCTGTGTTGACTGTTGTACTTGATGTTAACATCTGTTTATGTGTGTAGGCTGTGTGTGGACTGTTGTACTTGATGTTAACATCTAGTTTATTGATGTTAACATCTAGTTTATGTGTGTAGGCTGTGTTGACTGTTGTACTTGGTGTTAACATCTAGGTTATGTGTGTAGGCTGTGTTGACTGTTGTACTTGATGTTAACATCTAGTTTATGTGTGTAGGCTGTGTTGACTGTTGTACTTGATGTTAACATCTATCTGTGTAGGCTGTGTTGACTGTGTAGGCTGTGTTGATCTGTTGTACTTGATGTTAACATCTAGTTTATGTTGTAGGCTGTGTTGACTGTTGTACTTGATGTTAAGATCTAGTTTATGTGTGTAGGCTGTGTTGACTGTTGTACTTGATGTTAACATCTAGTTTATGTGTGTAGGCTGTGTTGACTGTTGTACTTGATGTTAACATCTAGTTTATGTGTGTAGGCTGTGTTGACTGTTGTACTTGATGTTAACATCTAGTTTATGTGTGTAGGCTGTGTTGACTGTTGTACTTGGTGTTAACATCTAGTTTATGTGTGTAGGCTGTGTTGACTGTTGTACTTGATGTTAACATCTAGTTTATGTGTGTAGGCTGTGTTGACTGTTGTACTTGGTGTTAACATCTAGTTTATGTGTGTATGCTGTGTTGACTGTTGTATTTGATGTTAAGATCTAGTTTATGTGTGTAGGCTGTGTTGCTGTTGTACTTCATGTTAAGATCTAGTTTATGTGCGTAGGTTGTGTTGACTGTTGTACATGATGTTGAGATCGTTTATGTGTTTAGACTGTGTTGACTGTTGTACTTGATGTTAACATCTAGTTTATGTGTGTATGTTGTGCTGATTGCTGCACTGTATGTTAACCTTCTCGTTATGCGTGAATAATGTTAGGTGACATCTGTATAAGTTAATAACGCTAATGGACACGATAATATGTACATATATTTCCAAGGCAAAAATGGACATGTTTGATGAAGTAAAGCAAATATAACCCATGAACTGATCCCGTGTCGTGTTCCGTAGTGAGTTCAACATATTCTACAAGCCTGGATTTATCAATAAGATGACCCTCGAATATCAGCAAACATTATCGCAGTTTTCTGAAAACCTTGACTCATGAGTCGTTCAAACGTAACGAACTCTCGTTCTCGATGGTCATATGTACAAGGCGGTAGGGCCATGTCAATGTAGGGTCACATCAGAAGGTCAGGTTCTGTAGATCATAACATTGATAACTGCGTTTCATGTGTCATCTGGAGAGAGAGGTGTTTGTTTCAGTAAAGGGGCCACAGGCCCATTATACATGTTATACCATGTGCACAGTTTAACAAGCGCCAATACAATCATTAACATGGATGCTACGGAGCAGGATGCACATCACAGATATTACAATCGCCAAAACGTATTACGTTTTTTAAGAGCTAGATATAAATATTTTCCAAGATCATTAATGACAATTAGATTCTTTGACATGGACAGTTCAAACAGCTTCTCATGTGATGGGAGATTATACTAATATTTGGGAATTGTATTTTCTCTAAGATCATTGTAAAATGGACACTCAAGGCAGAAAAGAAATTCATTTTCACCTCGCTCAAGACCAAGGCGCCTACATATGACTGTAGCTTCGGAATTTACTTACAGCAATACGAAATACTTTAGACTTGATGTGGCTGATGTAAAACTCATAAGAGACATTATCTTTAATATTATGTAGAAAGTCGAGTTTTGAAAAGCACAACGGTTCATCCCTCCATGACTGATTATCGTGGTCGATACATTTTGTTTGAATAAAGACATGAAACCAGTGATATTTCCCACATTCTGGTAAAACCAAACATTTCCAAATCCATAAACGGTTTAAAATACATTTCACATTCTATGCACAACAAACGGCTTGCTTTCTCTGCAAGGCTATATTGATATTCATATGCTTTCTTCCAAATGACATTATCAACTTGGTAGATCAATCTAGTCCAATATTTAATAACTGTACAATATATACTAACTTTTAATGAGTGTCTACCGAGTTCAGCAGGGGCAAAGATATTTTGGGGTATTTCTTGGAAGATAAAGAACTTGTTTACAGAATTTGTGGTGAATGTTCATAACGTTAGGTGATGTGTGAAAGCCCCATACTTTACTGCCACATAGCAGAATTGGTAGAACTTTCACATCAAATATTTGAAACAAGACATGTATAGGTAGTCTAGAAAAGTTAGGTATGGAGGATCTAAGTATAGATAGAACTCTGGAAGTTGAAGAAAATTTCAACGCAGGTCATAGACGTAACCACTAGGACAAACACCAACGAATACGTGGCAGGTGTTGAACGACAGCAGATCAAGAGGAGTGGCTCCAGGACACCCTTTCAATGGTTACTACCAAACTTCAAATACGCGTGAAGGTATGGCGGACCAGTTTTGATGACATTTCAGAGATCTGTGATCCGTTGTAAACATATCACATCGCCCAATAATAGGGCCTCATGTGACATCGTGATGAATTTCTATGGTCATATATAATGTACTCACTTCACATGGGGGCGGTGGGGTAGCCTAGTGGTTAAAGCGTTCGCTCGTCACGCCAAAGACTCGGGTTCGATTCCCCACATGAGTACAATGTGTGAAGCCCATTTCTTGTGTCCCCTTCGTGATATTGCTAATAGCGGCGTAAAACCAAACTGTGGGGTGAGGATTTGTTTACATAGCTTCGTGGTACAAATGTTCACTCATCTCGTCGAAGGCCTGTGTTCCATCCTCAACATGGGTACAATGTAGGGGTCCCATTGCTCGTTTGCTTTGCCATGATTTGGTTGGAATATTTCCAAATGAACCGTATGCTATACTCTGTAAGAAGTCAAAAACACATTACGTATATATTGAGATTGTATGAGCGCTTCGTACATTTTAACTCAACATTCAGTCAGAAACGGAAAATTACTATCCTGTTCGTGAGGTAGCATGGGTACATGTTGGAGTATGATGGGAATTGTCTTCGATTAACAATTTCATACACAGAAATATGTATGTTGTCTCCAGGTGAGGAATATCTGAAAGTTTGAAACAAGCGATGTTAAGATACTATCTTCAATAACAAAATAGGAAAGAGTGGAGATGATCTTACTCATTACCGACTGAGTAAGGCTTTCGATTATAGCAATATTCCAGCTATAGAACGGCGGAGGACACCAGACAATTTTTTCAAATATTGTACCCATGTGGGGAATCGAGCCCAGCGACACTTTAACCACTTGACCCCACGGCCCCTCTCCCAGACAAACAAGTGTGATACACCACATTAAGTCTTTTTAAGAATATCATAACTCTATCATGTTGAGGTTTAAAATGTCAAACGTTGGCAATTGATTCATTGACGATTCGGAAACTAAAAACAATACCATGTCTACCATTGTAACCCTATGTAAGACTACATCAAGCCGACATCACAGCAACATATTTACAACGGACTAGAATAGTCATGCTGTTCACAGTGTTGTGGATTCATGTTGGACCTAGACAGACAGACAGACAGACAGACAGACAGACTT